TAAGTGAGATATGGCTGTTTATGCTCATAAAGTGAAATATCTCACACAACTGAGATTTCTGCAAGGGAGTACTACTCATGAATGGCATTTTCAACCTTTTACTTCTTTATGCTCAGTTTAATGTTCAATATTCTAAAGTATGAATACACCATTTTGTCAGTAGAAAGTCAATTTCCTGGGGCTGGGATTGTGACTCAGCCACACAGCGCTCGCCTAGCACATGTGAGGCCCTGAGTTCAATCCTCAGCACCACATAAAAATAAATAAAATAAAGATATTGTGTCCAACTACAACTAAAAAATAAATATTTTTTTTAAAAAATGAAAGTCAATTTCCCTTTTACTATAGACATTTGACTCTGTACTTTATCATTCTCTACTCATGTGTTTTACTCAATCATATATTTTCCCAGTTCCTAAAAATGGAAACTTAGTGGGATGACAGTATACTTATTTTGAGAAAGTAATGGATAGTGTTTAAGCTGTGTCTTGGTACATTACCAAATTAGTCAGGTTTAAAGATTTTGTTCAAAATTCCCATGAGTATAAATGGAAAAATGCTAATTTCAGCTTTAATTTCTATAGTTTCCGTTACCTATAAGCAATATGTTGTATTGTGGATTTTAATTCTAATGCTTTAAATGAGATTATTTAATTTTGTAAAAACAATTGTATCTGCCAGGTTTTTCAGGGTATATTGCAATAGTTACTTCGTTTTAAATAATGCATTATACATAGCTTACCCTCTCACTAGATATCAATATAATATGGTTTAAAACTGCATGATGTGGTTTTAGATTTGGAATTTCCTCCCAAATCCTCATGTGTTGAAAGCATGATGCCCGATGCAGCAAGGTTCAGACGTGGGGCTTTTGGGCAATGATTGGGGCTGTGACCCCTTCAGTGGATTAACCCATTTTATATATTGATAATTTGAATGGATTACTAGGTGGTAATTGTAGCTGGGTAGGTATAGCTGGAGGAAGTAGGTCACTGGGGCATACCTTAGGGCACTATATTTTGTCCCTGGCTCCTTGTTTTTTCTTCTTTCTGCTTTCTGGCTGCCATGAGTTGAGCGTATTTTCTCCATCACTCTCTTTCACCATGAGATTCTGTCTCACCTCAAACCCAGAGCAATAGAGTTGGCCAACTATGGACTAAGACCTCTGAAACTGCAAGCCCCAAATAAACTTTTCCTCCTCTAAGTTGCTATTGTCAGATATTTTGGTCACAGTTGTAAAAAGCTGCCTAAAACAGAAATTGGTACTGAGAAGTGGAGTTGTTTCTGTAATTATACCTGATCATGTGATTCAGAAGCCTTTGGAACTGGTTAAGGGTGTAGTTTGGAATAGCTTTTTTTTTTTTTTTTCAGTGCTGGGGATTTAACTCAGAGTCTCAGGCATGCTAGACAAGCATTCCACCATTAAGCTACACTCCCATCCCTGAGGGTGGAGTTTGGAAAAGTTTGAAGATGTAGGTTAAAGAAGCCTTAGAATGTTTTAAGCATAGCTTAATGAATGACTCTGGTTGGAACTCAGAATACTGATAGAAATGTGGCCAGTAAAGTCCATGCTCATGAGGATTCTAATGGGAACTAGGACTCAATTTAGAATTAGACTAGAGGTCTTGCATGTTATATCCTGGCAAAGAATTTGTCTACATTTTGTCCATGTCCTGAGACTTTCTATAACATTTAATTTAATGGTGATCAACTAGTTTCAAGGAAACATGGCATTCAGGTGGTGGCATGGGTGTTGCTGGCAGATTTTAGCCAGGTTTACTGTGAGAATAAAGAGCAAAAAGAAGAGAGGAAATATTTTTAAAACTCACAGTATGGCCAGAAGTGTACACATAATATTGGAGTCAAGAAAGTCGTGGTTGCCGAAAAGATAACTGCCACTAAAAAGAATCCAAGTACTTTGTACAAAGACAATAGAAGAGATGCTTTGAGGCATGTCAGGAACCAGAAAAATCACACCCACTGCTGGATTAAGAGTGTAAAAGTGAAAACTCATTTGAAAAGAGACTATAGGGGCACTGTGATTGCACAGGGGTGCCTAGGAAGTTGTTTCCCCAGGATTCATTTCACTGTACTCAGCTTCCTGGGCACTCGAGGCTGCTTTAGTCATGGTCCAAGAGGAACCACTTTAACTGTTGGCAGACCTTGGTATAGTCTATGAGGCGCTGGTATTGCAGGAATTTAGGATGCTGGAGTTAGTGACTCATGTAGGCTTCCATTGATAATATTGATATTTCAAAGGAAGGCCTGGGAGATCCAGTAAAGTGTAGTGGGTTAGAATCCCTGTGGACAGCCCCTGAGAGGGTGATATATGAAGCTTTGAGAGTGAATCCAGAGATGTAGTGGAGATTCCAGGAATTAAGAGAATGCCAGAAACAGATTATCTGCCAAGGAAAACTTCAGGCAGTTAGAAGAGCCAGCTCAAGAAAGAATCCATGTGGGTTGCAACTGGCAAAGCCCATAGGGGTTGGACTGGCTAAATTCTTTGGGGCTCACATCTCACCACTATGTGTCCTGGATGCTATCCTCCCATGAACTGAAAACTCTGAGTCCATGATCCAAAATAAATCTTTCCATCTCCAAGTTGATTTTCCCAGCTAGTTTTTTTTCAGCAAAATAAAATTCCAGTTTATTATTGGACAACATTTTTTTCACACATACATCAAACAGGCCAAAAAAATAAATAAATAAACAGCAACTTCATAGACAAAAAAAAGGAAAAAAAAAGAAACCTTTTTAATCTTTGGCCTTTTAAACCATCTCATGCAAACCAACTACTTATAGTACAGCTAAAGTATATGCACAAAAAAAGTTACTGGAATGCTCAGAATAAGATTGTTTTTGCTTTCTTTTACAAGGTTTTCTTTTCTCCTTTGAGATTATAATGAACATGTTCACACCACAAGTAAAGTCAGAAGTAGGACAGAGAATGCTGCAAAGACTGGTTTGGTAATCCGAGAGCATTAAAAATGGCTGACCCCTAACAATATGTACAAAAATATAAAATGTAAATAAAAATACAAACAAATTTTCCTTTTTTAAAGTACTTTTAAGAAAAAAAGCAGGGCCTTGGAAGTTGTGGTTCTTTTTTCCTCCCCTGTTGCAAATTCACGCTGTGGTTTTGGTTGAGTGGTAAAGAGCACATGTCATCTGCGGGTGGCACTGCCTGTGGTGGGCGATCCTGTGGGCCTCTCTTCTGAAAAGTGACCACATTTAGATTCTAAGATGGGAAATGAAGGGTGAATAGGTCACGGTGGCCTTTTATTTTTATTTAACTTTTCCTTTTTTGCTGTCTATTCATCCTCATCGGTCTTCTGCTTCTTGGTATCAACATCATCATCCTCGTCATCTTCAGCTGCCCGTTTGCCTGTAGCTGCCTCAGCCTCCTCATCTTCATCTCCATTCTCTTCCTCTTCCTCACCATCACCTTCCTCCTCCTCCTCCTCTTCCTCACCACCCTCTTCCTCTTCTTCATCTACCTCATTGTCAGCCTCCTGCTCCCCATTTTCCTCATTAGCATTCCCATTAGCAGGGGTCTCTCTTCCATTCTCTGCCTCCTCCACAACTTCCTTCTTCTCCTTTAAGTCCTTGGTGGTGATTTCAGAGCTAGTGTCCACGGCCCTATCTGACATGGTAGGGCATGCCAGTCCCAGCTGTTTTTTGTCACAGCAACAAAAAATTGACTAATACACTAGTGTACAAAAGTTAAGGGCTGGGATGTGTCTCAGAGGTGAGCACCCGCCTACCATGCATGAGGCACTGGGTTCGATCCTCAGCACCATATAAAAATAAAATAAAAAATTGTGTCCACCTATAACTAAAAAAATAAATATTTTTTAAAAAGTTAAAAAATGTAAACTCTTGACTCGGCAGTTTATTTTTTTGATTGTGTGATTTTCTGTCTTATATTTCTGTTTTAGTCAGCTTTTTCACTGCTGCAACTAAAAGACCCACCAAGCACAACTTTAGAGGAGGAAAGGTTAATTTGAGGGCTCATGGTTTCAAGTCTTAATCTATAGAAGGCCAGCTCCATTCCTTGTGGCTTGAGGTGAGGCTGATCACCATGGCAGTGTGTGTGGCAGAGGGAAACAGCTCACTGAGATCAGAAAGCAGAGAGAGAAAGTCTACACCCTGATATAAATATATATACCCAAAGCCATGCCCCAATTCTTACCTCCTCCATCCACACTCTACCACATCAGTTACCACTCAGTTAATCCCTATCAGGAGATTAAATCATTGATTGGGTTAAGACTCTTAAAACTCAATCATTTCTCCTCTGAACCTTCTTGCACTGTCTCACACAGGAGCTTTTGAGGAACACCTCACATCCAAATGATAACAATTTCCTTCACCCAAATGCTTACACATTCTCATATGCAGATTTATTTTCAGCTCACTCAGGGGCTAGACTTCCTCTCTCAGGATATAGAGACCCAACAAAAGGTATAAAATTCCAGAAAAAATAATGGTTGATGCACTTAAGTCCTGGCCCTCCCTATTTTCCCTTCCTCTTACAAAAGCCCTCTGGCCTGAGACTTCCAGAACTATAGAGCAGTTAATTCCAGCCATTTAACTACTTTCAGAACATTCTGTTACTTTACCCTAACTTAGGAGAGCCTCACATATTACATGACTTTAATAAAGCTGTTTATGGAGGGGTCACCCCCATTATATGGGTCTTAGTTACACTCTGTTTCTCCAGGTAGCATCTGAGTGACTCGAAACAAGCTCCTGAACCTGTTAAGTCTCAACAACTTTAGAAAGCTGGTGATTTTGAAATCAGAGCCCCTTTGTGAGAAATAGGTGGCAAAACAACGTAATGTAACAAGTACAGTGCCCATCCTACAATGGGTACTCAAAGTTCTCTGGGTGCAGAATGAAGGAATACAATGTAATGTAACCAACACAGAGACTGGAATGCAGAGTTCCCTGTATTTGTAGCAACACATAGCTGGGCCTCAAACCTTCTAGTTGGCTTCCTCTGCAGGGGTGGCTCAATTGGAAACAGCTCCCTGGGTGTGAGGCTGGTAGTAAACTCAGGAGGCAGTGAGAACAGGAAGTCAAGTCTCCTCTGGCCCCAGGGCTCTCCTCTCTACGCCCTTGGGGATGGAACTTCCTGTAAAGACTCCATCTTGTTAGTCTGGCTCTGACAAAGTGAGTTGGAGCTTGCTCTCAGCTTGCTCAGCAGCCTTCCTCAATCTTTCAGAGATTCAAATTGCCAGACGACACAGATTCCCTGCAGAAGGACCTCGTGAGGATTTTGGTGGCCAGACACATAATGGGTGAGTTGGTCAGCATGAGGCCTTGGTCTCAGGTCCCCAAGGGGTATTCTGGGCCCCTCCCCCATTCATAAGAAACCTTACTAAACTTTAAGATGCAAAGGGGATTGTGGCAAGGTCCCAGGTTGATATTTTTCATAAAGACAAGTGTCAATTGAGGTCTGAGATACTTTTTTTGTTTCCACATGGAAAACCTCTTTGGCTTGGCTGAAGTTAATTTTTTTTGTCCTATTTGAGGGGAAAGTCCAGGGTTTGAGGAATGGAGAATGTCACTTGAAAGACGGGATTCCAGCTAATGATGGAGGAAGGGGCAGGGAAGCTATCTGTACCCTTGAATTTTTACACCAACCATTCAGGGTAGATTGTATTTATTCCCATAGAAGTTTCCCAAGCCTTGTTTTATGTGCTAGCAGATGACCTATCTGGAATATTATATGTGTAGCTTTTATGCGAACTCTTCCATATCAATTAAGTAGATTTGTTACCCAGATTTTAAAAATAATTTAAGATGAGGTTTAACTATCAGATTGGCTTTGAGTTCCTGGGCTTAGGTGATCCTCCTGCCTCAGCCTCCTGCAGTTGCTGGGACTGCAGGCATGTACTAACATGCCCATCTTGTACTTATATTATTTAAATCTTCACCAAATAGGTGAATTTTTGTCTGCAGGCTGTATCTGTTATTCAATGAAGTGTGTTAAAATTTTCCCCAAACTGTGAATGTATTCATTTCTCCATTTAACCAGTTTTTTATTTGTATATTTTGGCTCTGTGTTCATGCATAAAAATCAAAAATTTTTAATCTTACTGTTGAATTGATCCTTTATCCTTATGAATTATCCCTATTTTCTCTAATTATTTTTTTCATTAAAGTGTAGAGCTATGCAGATTTTCAGTTAGTGAATGGATAGAATGGTTTATTGTTTTTTTCATTACTTAAAAAAAAAACATTTTAGACTGTGGATGTAGCTCAATGGTAGAGCACTTCCTATTGTGTGAAGCCCTGGGTTTCATTCTCTGTATTACCAAAAGTTGATATAATAATTGTACATGTTTATGTGTACAGTATATTTTTTTTTAGCTTACCTATGCATATACTTTATTATTCAAGATTCGTTTTTCAGAAATCTATATTTCTGTTGAGTTTTATTCCTATTTTTTGCTGATTCTAAGACAATCAGTAATTCAAATTTCCTTTTTTAATAACTTTATTTATTTATTATTATGTGGTGCTGAGGATCCAACCCAGAGCCTCGCCTGTGTTAGGCGAGCGCTTTAGTGCTGAGCCATAACCCCAGTCCATTAATTCCAATTTCAAACATAAATTATTCTTATTTTTTCCTTGACAAAAACCAAACCTTACATACCACATATCTTTGTTTAGCAGAAACATAATCTACTTTTCTCATGTGCAGAGTTGTTTTTTCCTTTTTCCTATTTTTATTTTTAAAATTTGATTTTTTTTAGTTATACATGATAGTATATTTTCCCATGATATTTCATTGCATTTATACAACGTGTAATGATCACTTCAGGGTAATTGGTGTAGCCATTGCCTCAAATTTATCATTTCCTTAAGTAACATTCAAAATCCTCTCTTCTAGCTATTTTGAAATATACAATTGTCATCAGCCACAGTTACCCCACATTGCTATAAAACATTGGAAGTTATTCCTTCTATCCAACTGTACCCCTGACCCATTAACTGTCCTTTCTCCAACCCCAGACCTTTGCACCCTTCCTAGGCACTGGTAACCTGACATTGTATTCTCTATTTCTATGAGGTCAACTTATTTAGTTTCTACATATACGTGAGAATATTTTGCCATGTATTTATTTAAAAATTTTTATATCATTAAATTTTACATGTTTCTTTTAAGGAAAATTTGATGAAATATTATGTAATGTGACTCTCTCCATATATCAATTTAGGGTATTTCATTTACTCTGCTTTTATGAGATTATAAGATATAATTTGGATCAAATAGACAATAATAATCTATATACACATTTGCCTGTTCTGAGTTCTTGCCCTCTTTTTTCCTTTGATGTGTTTAAAATTTGTAGCTATTAAATTTTTATGATATTTGGCTGAATAAACATTCTTTGGCCATCCTTACAGTGTTTGCCCTTAGGATTACAATGTACATCTTTGCCCCATAGTGGTCTAATGTAAATTAGTTCTTTTGCAAATTCTCAAACAGTGCAGGGACCTTGGAACACTGTGATGTTATTAACCCTCCCTATTTATTATCATACATTTTAATTATGTATAGATTAAAACACTCAAAAGAAATTATCATTGTATTATATAATCAATATTAACTTAGATTTGCCTCCATATTCACAAATGTCACTCATTTTCCTTCCCTGAATCAATGATCCTCCATCTGGGATCATATTCTTTTCTATATAAAGAACCTTTAAATACTTCCTTTGATTTGAGTCTTCTGGCCAATTTTAACTCAGTTTTTGTTATAAGAACATTATTATGGGCTGGGGATGTGGCTCAAGCGATAGCGCGCTCGCCTGGCATGCGTGCGGCCCGGGTTCGATCCTCAGCACCACATACAAAAACAAAGATGTTGTGTCCGTTGAAAACTAAAAAATAAATAAATAAATAATAAAAAAGAACATTATTATGAAATGTCTGATAAGCAATGTTATCCTTTAAAATACACTTTTTTCTATTAATGTTTTTATAGTGACTTTATTTGTTATTTCTTAGAAACTTCTTAAGGAAGATTTCTTCATATGCTGCTTCTCTATTGTTTCCTGATTTCTGGCACTCAAAGTAAACATGTGCTAGATACACTTACTACATCTCCTGCTTTCCTCTCTTTTACAATTCTCCATAATTATGTATAACTAATATTTACTCTGTATTCAATCTATTTTCCATTTTTCTAGTTCTTTCAAGAAGGGAACTTGGCTTTTATGCTTGAACCATAACAGCAAACTTTCAGGGTAGATTGTTTTTTAATATCTTCATTTAGTTTTATATTGTGCTGAGGACTGAACCCAGTGCCTCACAACTGCAAGGCGCATACTCTACCATTGAGCTGCAGCCTCGTCCCTCAGGGTAGATTTTTCTATCTCCTCAAGAAGAGGAAGGAGATAAGAGTTAGAGATAATAAACAAATTGTCCAAATTACCCAAACTGAAAAGGGCAAAGTACGGAATAATAACATCACAGATCACATTCTGGCTTATGATACATTCCTGTTTTCTTCACCCCACCCCTCACCTTGAGACTGGAATCACTTGATTTCACCTATTGTTGGCAAGTGATCTATCATGGAGCTTCATCTCCAGCCTTATATATTTCTTTTTAGATTATAAAATACAGTGATATTTCTTCATATGCTATTATATTTTCCCAGAACTTTTTCTGGCATTTACCACTGATGTGTTGTTTTCAATATAAGGTCACAATTCCCAAGCTAACACCCTTCAAAGAAGAGCAAGATGCTGGGGTATTTTTCGAAGGAGATTTCCAAATTGGTCTGAACCAGTCAGTGCTGCCATGAATATTTCATCCCACCAGCAGCAAGAAGGAGATTCAGCAATGAATGATGCCCACATGGATTCTGGAGTTAGATAGTAAGTGACCAGTCATCAGTATGGCTAGAATAGACCATCCAGTGAAATATATAACCCTGTAGTTAAATATGTAATTCTTTCATGTCTCCAACCTAGAAGAGTGAGAAATAATAGGTTCAGATTAAAGGTTCAGCAAATTTTCATAATCCTGGAACCAAGCAGCAAAATATGTATGGAAAACTGTCTAAGCAGTAGGGATTATTTCTTTTTCTTCACTTCTCCACAGCACTCCCTATGTCATCCCATCCCATCATTGGAGAAGCAATTTATCCAAACAAGACCAGACCCATGGTAATATGGAGAGGGCGCAAAAACCTCCAGAGCGAAGAACTGAGGGAAACAGGCAGAATGGAACCTTAGGGAGCTGGTTCAAGATCACAGTGAGTGTTGTGGCAAAATGGACCAAATACCCAGAAGAAGAATGGGGACAGTTGTATTGGACTTGTATCAGGACGCAAGGTTCATTTCTGGGTGCAGGGGAATGGGTAATTTATTTTTTTATCACTAAGAGTTAATATCCCGGGTCATGTAAGGGCAGATTAAGAGAGATAATATAAAGGGGACAAGATGACTGCAGGGAGAATAGAAATGGTTGCATATAAGCAAAGGAAAAAATCTAACACTAAGGAGATTGAACAATTCCACACCAGATTCTTGTTTGGCAAAAATTTAATATGTGTGTGTGTGTGTGTGTGTGTGTGTGTGTGTGTGTGTGTGTGTGTATGTGTTTGATTCAATTCTCTGGGGTCCTTGACAAGGAGGCAGGCCAGATCTGCCTTGGGTAAGATTTCTTGGGAATTTACCAAGTTAGTTCATATTAGATATCTGACATTTTTTATTTGAAGAAAACTATCTGAATTTTTAAAAAAGATACTTAAGAAGTCCATGTCTGATATAAAAGCTAAAAATAATGGAATTTGTCCTATCTTTAGAAATTATTTTAAAGCCTGAAAACGGTCTGAAAGAAACATGCTTGTATTTAAACTTAATGTTTCCATCTTTTTTTTTTTTGCTCCTAGATTCCATTTGGCATAAAATATGAAGAGAAGTGGCTGCTGAATTTGATTCAGAGCCAGTGCAATCTCCCTTTTACTCCGGTTGAGGTAAGAGATAAAAGTAAGGGGTATAAGAGAAAACAGGACAGAGGAAGGCTGGAAGAGCAGCAATTCTGACTTCACATTCTATTTTTCTCACCACTGTCACTGTAGTTTCACTATGAGAAAATGCAGGCCCAGTTCTTTGTTGAGAATGCCAGCATTGCCTTCGCGTTGAAGAATATTGGTGATAAGATTCGGGATGAGGATAATGAAAAGGTATGTGTCAAGGGGATAACCAGAGCCAATCAAGGGGGCAAGAGGGCAGGCCAGGGGTGATACCTTGTTCTTGGGGTTCAAAGTTCTTGGTGCAGACCCAGCTCCTCATGTGTTATCTGCAGATATCAATCTTTGTCACTCCTTCTGAGGTACCCTGCTCTATTAAGGATCTGCAGTCAGAAAAGGTAGAGCAAGTGAAGGTAATGTAGACTCAAAACAAGTTGTGCACCAACAGCCATACCCCCTCTGTCTTCCCCGTATATTGCCCTACTACCTCTGCCTCAGAGCTACTGAACTCCATCTTTAACTTTGCAGTTAACCATGAACAAACAATGTGATGCCTCCCATCAAGCTCTTGACATTCAGAGACCCCCTGTAGAACCAAGTATGGTTGATAGCTGTAATTCTGGGGTAGAGGAGGGCAGATGGGTTTGCCTGGGAGGGATATTTAGGGATTGTCACTTGGGGAAGTGTTGGTGTTGGAATTGGGCCAGCTGGTCTCCTCTCAGCCTTCTGATTCCCACCTCTTGCTTCCTGAAGACTTGATGACCCATGCTATTGAAATGGCACCGAATCCTAGAAAGCACATGGTTACTTCCTTGAATATTCCTGAAAAGAACAAACCCAATGTGAGACCTTAGGCTTAATGATGTTATTGAGGGTGGTAGAGGTTAGCTAGCAGCCAGACTGGTCTCAGATATTCCCCACTAGAGCCCTAACTCTAACTCTTTCCTCATCATAGCTTTCCTTGCCAACCTACCAGCTGGTTGGCATGATGGATACTATGCCAAAGGATCTCAGTATTGAAAACCCAAATGTCTCCAAAAGTAAGGTAAGATGTAAGACTCAGATCATTATTTGAAGGAAAAGTGGAAGGACTCATCAGGGTGGTGACAAGAGGCAGAGAAGTAGATTGTTTGGCAAAAAAGGGAGTTGGGGATGCAGGGCCCTTCACCTCTCTTTCCGTAGTTCATGTGTTCCTCCACATAATTACAGGTGAAGTCTGCAGGGAAGATGGACAGCGGGAAAGGGCTGGAACCAGAAGAGATGTGTGCAGACAGAAACTCTCTGTGCACCACCTTCCTGGATAAGTCCAACAACATGAAGTCAGTTGTAACCTTTGCTACCCACTGGGACTTCAGCTGCCCCTGATGTGTCCTTTTGCAGAAGGAGGCAGCCTTGGTTCTCTGGGAGGACCACAGGCTCCACCCTTTCCTATGTCTGTGTTCCCCAGCTGTGTCCACAGGTCTGCTTTGCCTCTTCTGACCTGCTCCCTTTTTCACCTGATCTGGTGTATGTTTTCCACCTCTCTGCACCTGGCCTCCTCCAGCATGCTCTCCTGGGATAGGAGTAGTTTCCTTTCCTATCCTGAGAAGGTCCCTTCTTCCTTTGCTCCACAAAGTTCTCCCCACCTGTCCCAGGCTGACATGGAGATTTCATGCCCTGTGCCAAGGGCCAAGGCTCTAGGTGGCTACCATCACAACATCTGTTCCTCTAGGCCATTGGTGGGAACTGTTTCCTCCTTGGGGAGAAACATGGGTTCCCTGAGTCAAGGAGCCAGAGGTGGGCCACTGACAGCGAGCAGAGGCCTTCCCAAGACAGGAGGGGAAGGCAGAGGGCAAAGGAGGGGCAGGAGGAGGAGGAGGAGGCGGGAGCACAGGCCCCTCAGGGGCACTGCTGCTCTCTCCCCCACTCCACATCCCACATCCAACCTGGTCCCTCAGAGCAGCCCTGGGTAGCCCAAGTCAAGATGCTTCCTTGGGCAAGACACTGACTCAGACAGGCACAGGTGCACAGGGACCACCATGAGGGAACCTGGTGCTCATAAGAGGGGGCCACAGACCCTCTGTCACATGCTGAGCTGGTGCCTGATTCTTCACTACTGGTGCTGGGAATGACACCTCCCCTGGGGGCGGCTCCTTTTCGCATACCTGGCACCCTCTGGACCCACACAGGAGACAAAGGCTGGACCTGCATCCAGTGGGCCCCAGCCCAGCAGGTACATGTTTGCATTCCTGCCTGGGGCCCCAGGGCCAGCCAGGGGCAGGTGAAGGAATGGGCTGCAGTAGGGGAGCTGGTTTCTTCTCACTTCTGCCTTGATCTCCAGCACCGGGGTGGAGCATCTTCCCCTACCATTTGCTTTGCTTCTCATTGTCTCTACTTTTCTTTGTCTCCCCCAACTCTCCCTCCCCTATCTTCACTCCTTTTTGGTCGCCATATCCCTTCCTTCCCCTCCGTGCCTTATTCACCCCACTGCTCCAGCATTTTGTGGGGCAGGGAGATGACTTGGTCTTGGCCTGGCCAGGTCATGCCACGCCCCACAGAATGCTGGATATCCAGCAAGATAGCAGAGCCCTGGGCTCCCACCTCATTCCCTGCTCCCTGCAGAACCTTCCTTGGGGATCAGGAAGAAGGTAAGGGAGGCATGGAGGGTAAGGAAGCCCTGGAGCCTCAATGTAGCTTTGTGGTGGCCCTTGTGAAATGGGTCATGGCAGTGGAGGTGGGAGCTCCCAGGGAGAAGGAAAGGGAGGAGAGCTAGAGGAGAGACAACTCTCTCTGTGTCAATCAACAGGAAAGGCAGATATACAGTTTCAATTGTTTTTGTCTATTTTGTTTTGATTTTAAATATGTTTAGTCATTTATTTCAACTGACACATAAACATTTAATTTGCACATATTAATGTGGTGCCATGTAATACTTCTATATACACATACATTGTATGACTTTTAAATCAATTTATCTTGATTTTTGATAGCTCCATCCTGGAATTGTTTCCCAAGTTATTATGTCTGGTAAGTTTGCTCCTTTCTCATTACTCCTCTAATGGGAACTTATGCTGTTTCCAACCTGCCCTGAAACCCTTTAGGTCTTGCCCAACTCGTATTTTTGGATCTGACACTTAAACCTCAAAGGTATATGGAGAGGCAGTACAGACCCATATGAGAACTTTACAAAGGCTCTGACCTTTCTTCACACAGGGACCCATTGCCATGACCCTAGCTGTGGTTCTGTCCATATCATTTCCATGGCCTTTTCACATGGGATTTGTGACCTAACCCTCTCCTGGACTCATCCCTTTCTTTAATCATCCAGCATCACTTCCTTTTCCTGTACTGATGCCTCCTCTTTCCTTCCCCAGGATGGGCAGGAGTCACCTAGACCAACTCTATGTGGCATTGAAGCTCACAAGAAGTTACCAACTTGCAAGGTGAAGAGAGAGGCTCATGCAGGGTTTTAGGTGGTACACAAAGAGCACATAATAGCTATGATCCCAAACGTTCATTTTATTCCAGGGAAGTTTCTTTGGATCTGACATACTGAAGAATCTGGTCCTACAGTTCCTACAGCAGTAAGTCCCTCTGAGGTTCTCTGGACTTGGGGGATGAGGGAAGTAAGGCCATATTATCATAGGGCTGCTTGATGAAACTTTTAAGTCTCATTTGGGGTCCAAACCATAGAGATAGACTATTCATTTGCTCCCCTGCAGGTATTACTTGATCTATGACTATGGAGACCGAAAGAGTCTCCTGGGCACTTATCATATTGAGGCCTGCTTTTCTCTGACCATTCCGTTCAACCCCAAGGATCCAGCCCTGTGAGTATCACAGCTCAGACTCTGGTCTATGGTAGCGTGAATCTCCAGCAGACATATGTCCAGCTCTTGGAAATATGTGCACCAGCTAGACCTACACCTCTTGTTCCTCTTTTTATCCTAGGAACAGCTTTTGTGAGTATTTCAAGTATAACAGGGATATAAAGAAACTCAAGGATTCCTGTAAGTGTGTGATGGGGAAGACTGGGCAGCAGCATAAGGGGGTATGAAGGGGTCAGTCACGGGGGTCAAGGGCAAGGGTGTGGCAGCCCCCCTCATCTTTGCTTCTCCTTTCCTCTGCAGACCAGTGGAAGCAACTGAAGCACACAAAACGTGACATCTTGGATACCCTCTGCGTGCTGCCCAAGACTCGGCATGACCTCAGCTCCTTTGTGGTGGACATGTGGTTCCAGACGGTGAGCACCTGCTTCCTCCCTGGGGTGGGACCAGAAAGCTGGAGGTGGGTAGGAGGTTAAGCAGATCCTGAGTTCCTGCATTGCCCCCTTTCAGGAAACAATGCTCTGCTTCTCTGTGAATGGTTTGTTCAAGGAAGGTGAGTGTCTATACAACCCCCTCAGATCGCCTGCTGCTCCCTCCCCTGGGTGGGCACCCTCTCAGAACTCCCCCAGCTTCCCTGATTCTGGGCCTTTCCTTCCTGTTCTTCCCTGGGGGCTCTTCCCTCGGTGCTCCCACTCTGCCCACAAAGCATCCTGGTCTGAACGTGGTCCGTGCCTGTCTGCCCCACAGCTCCGCTGTGTGTTAGGGACATAGGCTGTGGGGTTCCATGGCTCTCCTCCCAGGTCCTTACTCTGTGGCCTTGGACCAACTACTTGACCTCTCTTTTTCACCATTTTTAAAATGGGGCTAGTAGAACCCATCTCTTAGGCAGGTGTGAGATGAAGATCAAGTGAACTTTTGAAGTGGTTTTCACAACATATATTAGGGGACCCATTACAGGGAGTAGACTGTTTCTACTATTGCCCTCCCATTTCTGCCACAACTTTGTGACTCCAAGTGAACAATTTCTGATTCTGGTCCCTTCAGCATAATACCTTCCCTGGGAAACACTGTGTAAGCTTGTAAATCACGTACAACTGTAAGGGGGTATTGTTGTTTGTTGTCCTTGAAGTGGAAGGAAAGTCCCAGGGCTCTGTTCGTGCCTTCATCAGAACCTTCATCGCTATTCCTGGAAGCAATTCCAGGTAAGTGCTATATTGTAATTGCTTCCAGGAAAGTGCTATATTGTAAGTGGGAACACTCTACTGAGCCTTAGCCTGTAGGTGTGGGAATGTGGTGGTGCAGTCATTGAAAACCCAAAGTATAGTCAAGTGCTTCAGTTCTTTCCTGATGCAGTACTCACTTGCTGTGACTTTGGCCAAGTCAAATGACCTCTATGTAACTCAGTGTCTTTCTCTGAAAATGGTGATTACATTTTTCACTCCCTTCTAATACTGTAAGGGGCAAATGTGAGTGTAAAATTATTCCTGGTTCATAGGTAAATCTATAAATCATGTAAGCTTGTTGACAATCTTCAAAGTTGGCCTCTAGGAGAATGTTAAATGATACCAGCCAAAAAATGTTGGGCACAGTTAGGGGATAATTAAGGCATCTGGTTGCTGAGCAGAGGTAGCAGGATTGTTGTTGGGGAAGATTTTTGTTAGGGAGTGGGGCTGTACATCTTTCCAGTCAACTGAGGGTCTGCTTCTCTTTCAGCCTGTGCATCATCAATGATAAGCTGTTTGTGCGGGACCCTAGCCCCCAGGGGAACCAGAGCCCCTTCTGCATCCCTATGGCCACATGTTCCTCCACCTCTGTGCCTGCCCTCTCCGAGGAGCAGCAGGAAATGGTACAGGCTTTCTCTGTCCGGTCTGGGATGAACCTCAGGTGGTCTCAGAAGTAAGTGCTGGGTTTACATAATGATTATATATTTGCTGGGTGGATCAGGGGAGTGAATTATGGAAACTTGCAGATAGTGGGTTTTTGTTCTTTATTTCACTCAATATCATACTGAATGTTTACCTTCCAGTACACAGTAAGCTACCCAGTTATTTTGAACAAGTTTATGATACTTCTAAATTCTATAGACCCTGTTCCTTTATTACAAGACATTTCGCTTTTCAGGATTTCCAACTCCCCAGTGACATACTCTGACACAGAGTTTGTTTGTTTGTTTTTTTTTGCTATACATGTTGCACTACACATGGAGGTATGTTTTTGACATGTAGATTATAAATGTCATTGTGTTATTGGAGTATCTCCTCTTGGGTCCTAATGGATGTCTCCTATCCTTTCTCTACCCCAGATTCCTTGAAGAGAACCACTGGGACTACATCAGAGCTACACAAGTTCTTACTATGCCCAAGGTGAGGTTTGAGGATTCAGGCCAAGTGAGCAAAAGCCAGGTGGCCTGAGGATGAGGCCATTGATTTCTGGCTCTGCTGATCACCAAACTCCTTTCTTCACTTCCTGTAGGTAAAGGGCATGGTCCCAGAGGAGACCCTCAAAAAGACTGATCCTGAAACTTAAGTACAAAACCCTGAGAAGAAATTCCTGGGTGTTGTCATCTTTATCTTCTTCATCTTTGTTGCATTTTTTGTTCTAGTATGTGTATTTCTCTATGACTGACCTGGTTGTGACTGAAAGCCAAATTCTAACTTGTAGGGCTAACTCTCATGCATCCAGAGTCAAGTATTCCATGCATTTGCTCCACCTCCCAGGATGCCTGTTTATTTTCTTAATAAGAATGATGTTGTCCATTAAGTTAAACCTGCAAAAATCCATTTGAGACAGGCTTTACTCTCTAAGTTCTGCAGAGAAAGAAACAGATACTCAGAAGGAGCAATTCCTGGGAAGGAGTGGAGTAGAGACTCAAATTTTGGACCCACATTTAGACCAGAGCTGTGCCCCAAAGAGCTGTGTGGCTTTCTAGGCTGGAAGTGCTCTCTAACACTGTTAAACTTGGCCATTGGTGTTCTAGGTCCCTAGTGCATTAGTTAGATAGTTTTATGCAGAGAAGTATTAGTTTCTTAGCCATACAAATTTAAGAACAACCCCTTTCACAGGAAATAGCATTAAAGAGCACATGGAATCCTATGAAAAAAATGCCAACATATAAGAACTGTCATACTGTTAATATTCTTGATAAGTAAAGAAAAGGCAGAGAGAAAGGTAACTGACATTAACCTTGAATTGCCATTAGAAGCAATGATTATAATCACAAAATCTATGAAACTCTGTTCAACCATAAAACTATGAAAACATTAACTGTGAATGTTAAGATACTAATTTAGAAAAGGAAATTAAATTGCTATTTTCAGAAAAATATATTGCATTTGTATGTATGTACATGTGCAAGCATGTATCATATATTTTTATTAGTTTTTTTTAAAGCTGCTCTAATAAAGTACCATAAACTAGATGGTTTAAAGCTACAGGAATTTATTTTCTCACAGTTCTGAAGGTCATAAATCCAAACTCAAGGTGAAGCAAGGCCATGCTTCTTTCACAGGCTCTAGGGGGAATCCTTTCTTGGCTTTTCAGCTTCTGGTTGCTAATGGTGATTTTATAGGTGTGGTAGCATGATTCATATTTCTGCCTCTATCTTCACATGACATTCTCTGTGTCTTCCATTCTTCTGTTCCTTTAAAAATCACCTATTATCAGATATAGGATCTACATTAATATAAGATGATTTAATCTATTAATATCTAAATAAGGTCACATTCTGAGGCTACATATGTGCATATCTTTTGGAGATCACTTTTCAATACCCTCCATTGTGTCCTCTGGCCTGTGAAAATTCTCATCTGTCTCATGTGAAAAATGTATTCACTAAATCCTGCCTTATTTGAAAGTTAATACATTTTGGTATCAACTATTAAGTAAAATATACCATCTAAACATCAACTAGGGTTGGATGTGTAGTTCAGTGGTAGAGCACTTTCATGTGCAAAGTTCAGGTTTGATTCCCAGCACCACAAAAAAGTAATGGCTTCCGAAGTCCCAAATTGCATCATCTAAAGTATCTACATCAGGTTTGGGTGAGACTCTATCATATATGAAGGGGAACAATTCTCCATCTGTGCAAGTGAAATTTAAACCAGAAAATTCTGGTTATGAGATTATCAAGGAAGGATCTGTCCACTGATGGAATAGGCATAGGATAAACACTCCCATTCTAAGAGGGAGAATCTGAGAGAATTAAAGAGTTCACTAGTCCCAAGAAAGTTTTAAATCAATCCAGGAAAATTCTATTAGGTTTCAAGGCCCAAGAATTATCCTCTGTGGCTTGATGCTTTGATCTCTAGGATTGTGGAGATGACCCTCTCTGACCTCTGCCTTTATAGCTGTAGCTCTGGTCTGAGAGTAATCCTTCCTTTTTCTTTATGTCTAATAGCCTTCCTTTAATTTGTCCTCCTTTCATTCCTTTCAGGTAAGGTTAGTAGTGTTTTTGTTTTGTTTTTTGGAGGGTGGGTAACGGGGAATTGAACTCAGGTATTTGACCACTGAGCCACTTCATCTTCCCTATTTTATATTTTATTTAGAGACAGGGTCTCACTGTTCAGCACCTCACTTTTGCTGAGGCTAGCTTTGAATTTGCAATCCTCCTGCCTCAGCCTCCCAAACTGCTGGGATTACAGGAATGTGCCATGTACCTGTCTAGTAGTGGTTTTGGTGAGAAAATTATTCTCAAAAACCTTGTAAGTCTCTAGTATATATCAAGTGGATACATGCCATCAGATAAGAGTGTTCTCCACAGATCCTTTCCAGATAATCTCCTCTTTATTTCTGGATTCTGCTGAGAATGTACCATTTTGCATTTCTTTCTTAAAAATCTTTTTAGTTATAGATTGACACAATACCTTCATTTGATTTATATTTTTTAAACATGGTGCTGAGGACTGAACCCAGAGCCTCACACATGCTAGGCAAGCACTCTGCCACTGAGCCACAACCCTAGCCCAATGATTTTGCATTGCTAATACATCCTTGCCAATATTTAATGCTGTTGGTTTTTAGATCTTGGACATTTTAATAGGTGTGTAGTGGTATCTTGTTTTCAATTTGCATTTTCCTGATGATATATTATGTGGAGCATCTTTTCATGTTTACTTGTCATCTGTACATTTTCTTCACTTAGGTGTTTAGGTCTTTGGCTCATTTTTATGGGGTTATTTTCTTACTGCTGAGTTGAGTTCTTTGAATATTTTGGATAATAGCCCTTTATAAGATATGCTTTACAAGTTGTCTACTAAGGAGTGATATTAACTTCAGACTTCCAAAATAAGGAAATATATAAGGACATAAAACATGGTAATGGTGGCTTTGGGCTGGAAAGAATGGGGGGCAGTAAAAAAAATGATAGCAAAAATACACAGGGTTTCTCATTGAGGTGAAGAAGTTATTCTAAAATTGACTATGGTGATGAGAAAATATATTTATGAATATACTAAAACCAACTGTCTTGTACATTTTAAATGGATGAATCTTGCAGTATATGTTATTTTTCCACAAAGCTTTTGAAAAAAAAAAGATAGAGACTCTTTTAGCTTTCCATCATTATAATAAATACTTCAATAATGAATTTATGAAAAGAATTATGTTGGTTTTTAGTTTTGGAGATTTCATTAAATGATCATGTAGAACTGTTGTTCTGAGGGAGAACATCACGGTGGGAGTGCATGGCAGAGCAAACATGCTCAGATCATGACCAGAAAGCAAAACAGTGAAAAAGGAAGAGATCAGGGTCCCATAATTCCCTTTGAGGGCATGTTCCCAATGACCTAACCCACCATTAAGCCCCATATATTGAAGTTTCCACCACCTTGCAATACTACCACACTGGGGACCAAGCCTTTAACACATGAGTCTTTGCGACATTCCAGATACAAACTATAGCAGAGATTTAACTGGACTTCCTTTTAATTGAATATGAGGGACAACATAGAGGGATACTAGAATGATGGCCAAGTTTTTGGGTTGGCCAATGGGGGCCCTGTAAGATGAAAAACAAATGGGGAAAATGAGTATAAACTGGGAAAAAGTGGAGGGGGGATATCACCTGTAGATCAGGAACACTGAAAGTTTCCGAGAGGTGAGAAATCTCTTTGAGAATCTGCCAAGAAGTATGTTAGTTTCATTTTTCTGACATAATACCTGAGATAAGCAACTTAAAAGAAGGAAGGATTTATTTTGGTTCATGGTTTCAGAGGTTTAGTCTATGGTCACTTGGTTTAGTTGATCCTGAGCCTGTGGTAAGACAGAAAGATGTAGAGTATGTGTTGGAGTAAAGCTGCTCACCTTGAGGTGACCAGGAAGCAGAGAGAGGTGGGAGGAGGGAAGGGAAAAGGGCCTTGGACAAGATATACCCTCTGAGGGCACACCCCAGTGGCTTCCTTCTACTAGGTCTCACTTCCTAAACCTTCTACCACCTGCAAGTAGCACCAACTGAGGACTAATCCTTTAATACATGAGCATTTGGGGACATTCCAGATCCAAAATATAACAATCCCTCTCTCCCAAAAATGTAAATATACAATTGCTCCCTACACACATAATTCTGAATAACATTTAAGGAGTTCCATAGACTTCCAGGTCGAAAGAAGGCCAAATTTACTCAGGCTGACCAGCAGGCAGTATTCCTTGGGTCCTTGCATAAACATATAGGGGTATGCTGGTGGGTATAAGCACTGGTGGATAATAACTCTGCAGCAAGACTAGGCTCTTCCTCAGTGACCCAGAGGTAAGGAAGTTAGGGTGAGGGTCCCAGGAATCTCCACCTCCACATCCAGCAGGAAGTTTCCAGAAAGTCTTCCAACTGGGGTAGGTGAAAAGGGGGAGAATATCAGGGACAATGATGCACACGTGTAATCCCAGATACTTGGGAGGCTGAGGCAGGAGGGTCATAAGTTTGAAGCCAATGCAGCAACTTAGCAAGAACCTGTCTCAAAAACAATGGAGGGATGAGAGTGTAGTTCAGTGGTAGAGTACTCCTGGGTTCAATCACCAGTATTGCAAAAACAAAACAAAAGAGAGATAGGCAGACTTAGGAGCTCCACTCTCCCCAAACACTTCTGTACTCTTCTTGTTTCTTGGAAACTCACTACAGAAGTGTACATGGGAATTATTCTGTTTTTTTTTTTTATGAGAACAAACCTCCCATCTATGCTAGTAGGTCACTAGGTGGGAATTTGGGGAAGAAATGAAGAAAACAAAGGTATTTACTAAGGTCTTATGTCCATTGATATTTTTAGAGTAAGCAACAAATTCAGTAGCTTTAACATAGGAAATGATGAAAAAAGTCAGGGATCACCATGGTTGGACAGAAGTGAGGACAAAGAAATAAGCCCTTGGACACAATAAATTATTACCCTTTGTAGCATGGCATGTTGCTTCTCTATCCTTGTACTCTTTTCAACAAAACTCATTTTATGAGACTGTGATAAAACCACTGAAACAGAATGCTGGCACAAGACAAAGTACCTGGTGAAAACTTAGCACATAATACCTCTAACATGTGGGTTAAGATAATATGTTTGCTGAGGTTACCTTTCAGGGACTTGAAGGCCACTTTTGCTGAAAAACACTAACTCTTCACTTTGGCCTAGTGATGTCTGATGTGGCACTATAATGGGATGAAAGGCCTGATATCTCTGCCTTCATATTATGTCTGAACCCTTTGATGCTGTAAATTTTAGTTCAGATTCTATTCAACTCTTTTTTTTTTTTTGGTACCAGGGATTGAACTCAGGGGCATTCAACCACTGAGCCATATCCTCAGCCCTTTTTTGTATTTTATTTAGAGACAGGGTCTCACTGAGTTGCTTAGCGCCTTTCTGTTGCTGGGGCTGGCTTTGAACTCGTGATCCTCCTGCCTTAGCCTCGTGATCTGCTGGGATTATAGGCATGTGCCGTCATGCCTGGATGTAGACATGTTAATTGACTGATAGAGCTGGTATGTGTTTTCTTTATCCTTGTGCTTTTTCAGCAGCTATAGCAGCCCAAGCACCCAAAGTCCTTCAGCCTTATCATAAGTCCCAAATTGAGCTACAAGGTCAGAATGTTTGCATAGGATGATGGCATCACCTACACATGTAACTCAACAGTTCCCAGGACAAGTTGACTGTGACTACATGGTGGTACAAGTCTCATGCAAGAAGAAACTTCTTTCAGAATCACGACCCTGGCCAATGAAAAATTACCAAACTTTAGCCCATCCAAGAAAATCAATAAAAACTTGAACCTCCCTTGATTCAGGAAGGAGCCTGATTTCTTGACCAATGTTTTCTCTTTTCAGTTGAAGCCCCAATTAAAGCCCTATCTATATATTCACGCTAACGTAATTTCATTTCTGTATTCACCGAATCAAATGCTCCAATCTCCTATATCAATCAGAGGCTCTGAAATGTAAGGGTAGGAGAAATAGCAGTTTCCTAACCTTTTGTGAACCAGGGATGATTTGACTGTCTCTGCATCCTTCAACCTACCTGACCTCACAACTCTTCTTTGCTTAGATCATCATAATCACCCATAATAATAGCCATTAATTTTCAGCAGTTGATGTCAGTTATCAGCAAATATTTTTCTGCATTTAATGAATGTTCATTAAAATAGAATAAAACAGAAACATTTATTAACGATTGAAATTTGTCCCAGAAGGAAAATAAAATAGATTATTTACATAAAGTGCCCATAATCTGACTACTGAACTTCTCCCTGAAATTGTACTTAACAGAAGATTTTAGAAACACAGATTGTTAGGAATATTCCCTCTTTTTTATTTTCCAGAATAATTTCAAACACTCTAGAGTGTTCTAAAAATAATAGTGAGTGGAACCCAGAAGAAAACATCTTCTGGTGTGGTACAAATGAACATAAACAATGAATTTTTATTTTCACTTCCCCTAGCAAACAATCTCTTTCAAAAATAAAATTATCTCATTTCCAATTTTTGAGGCATTCTAATTTTTCTAAAAGAAGGAAACAAAAATTATAAGGAAGCATATATACAGCTAGGAGATTAAAGCAGAACAGGCCAAGGCCAAGCTAAGGGGTGGGGGATGCAGGGGGAAGGGAACAGATCCTCCCTGGTAACTAGAGAAGGGCCAACTCCAACCACAAGATGGTGATGCCACTTGTGGGGCCTCAGATTGGAGAGGACCTAGATGAGTGACACAGCAGTGTGTGTGTGGGGGCACTGCTCACAGATAGGAGGGGGGTGTCTTGTTGACTGCCCACCAGTTGGTGTTGGGGGGACTGGGAGGAGGGTGAGCTCTGGTGACGCGCGGCCCTCACGTGACCCGGAGCTGCAGAGCGACGCAGCCCAGGGTGCAGTCGTCACTCGCGTCTGGCTACCAGCTCCCCGCTGCCCTGCGCACGGCGGGCTGGCAACGGGCCCGGGGAAAGCGGAGCAGGTAAGGGCCCTGGGTCCCGCGCGTAGCGGCCAAACCAACAGCAGCTTGTAGGCCCAGCGCGGGTGCAGGACAGCGCGGCGGAGCCCCCCGCTTTCTCTACACCCCAGCATTCTAGAGCACATAAATAGTGGCGCCCTGGCGTCAGGGGGCAGGGCGGCTGAGGCTCGGGGGAGGGGCAGCAGAGCAAGCAAGAGCAGAGGGAAAGCACTCTGGAGTCCTGCGAGGAAAAATGGTGAACGCCACGGGGGGCGGGATGGCGAGGGTACCCGGGGCCCAGCTGGAAAGCCCAGGGCCGGGGCGAGCACTCGGCTACATCAGCCCCCTGTGCCCCCACCTCGGTCTGCAGGTCTGCGGACCAACAAGAGTCGCGGCGGCGCAGCCGGCGGCGAGAATCCGGAGGAGCAGGAGGAGACGGCAAGGATAGGCCCAGG